GCAAATCTATGAAGAAGGACATTCAGGATAAGTTCCTAGTTGATTTGAAAGCAGGGGCTTAGAAGAAGCAAAAGAACAATTTGTTTGAAAGATGTGGAAGACCTAAGTAGTTTAATAGGTAAAAGAATGAAGTTGTGTACAGTGTGGGTTTTGACTTTGTCTTAAAGTATGGTGAGATCTGCTACATAACCTTAAAGATGAGAAAGGTATGATCAAAGTAAGTAGGGAAGGTAATTTCAGAAGCCAGACAGGTATCTAGGATTGAAGACAAAATAAAAATAGTTGGCTGCAAAAATCTTAAGTGATTAAATGTATTTAACTAAAATGATTAAGTACCTCATTGTAAAGCATTGTTGTGGGCAATACAGAAAAGGAATCAAATAACTGAAAGCATTGGGCATAATAAAACCTTTCCCCCTTTTATACTAACAGTAATAAACAGACCAAAACATCTGGTAAAGAGTTCCCAAGCGTGTGATTGGCAGCTGTCAAGGTAAAAGAGAATTGCAGAATCTTAACCTCTACAAAAAAAAAAAAATAGTCTGGGAAGAAGAGCAGGATAATGAGCAAATAACTTTAAAAGTATAGGATAGGGCCTGGCCGGTGTGCCTCAGTGGTTGAATGTCAACTTATGAACCAGGAGGTCATGGTTTGATTCCCAGTCAGGTCACATGGCCAGGTTGTGGGCTCAGTCCCCTGTAGCAGGTGTGCAGGAGGCAGCCGGTAGGTGGTTCTCTCTCATCATTGATGCTCCTATCTCTCTCTCCCTTCCTCTCCCATCCTCTCTGAAAACAATACACACACACACACACACACACACACACACACACACACATACATATTAAAAGTGTAGGGTAGGGGTATCTGCCCATCTGGATGACTTTTTACAGAAGAGGTTTGTCCAAGGGCTTATGGAAAAGTGACAATCCTCACAGGTGCCCAGGATCTCACCTTTCCACTCAGCCTTCAGCGCTGGCTTTGTTCGTGTCGCCCTTTATTCACTTACAATTTTTAAGTAGAAATTTTGTTGAAACAACAACAATATTACACTTTCACATTCTTGGTTAACCACAGAGTTTTATCCAGAAAGTGTTTGCCCCGGATCTAAGTCAATGTAGAAAGCCAACACAAGGAATTACACTCTGTTGGTCCTGTGTCACACTTTTTAAAAAAATCAGCTGGCTGATAAAATAGATAATTTTTTCTTTAAAATTACATATTTTGTTAGGCTGCAGTGAGGAATCTAAAAGATCTTTGAAATTAAGATTTGATTTTAAAGACACTGTAATAAATTAGGGAGGTGTACTGGAAGGAAACAATTTATTCTAGGTTGTCTAGTTTTCCTTGGGGCAGCCTAAAGGTGGTTAAGAATGGGAGTTCTGCAAGCAAAGGGTTTGAGTTCACATAGGCCTTTATAGTACAGTTCTAATGAAGTGATAGGGGAAAGAATAAATCACACAAAAACTATACTCTGGGACTATTATTTTGCCTTCCTAGCAACAACTTTACAAGAACTATGATCTAACATCACGCTATTGCTATTAATTTATGGACAAAACAGTCTTAAGTAAGTTTTTCCAAAAGTGCAGCAGTCCAAGGTAGTTGAGACACTACACCGTAACAATCAAGAACAGGCTCAAGAGCCATCTTGCTTGGGTTCAAGTCCTACTTCAGCCACGGTTCTGGTTGTAACTACAGGTACATTACTTCTCTCCATGCCTTAGTGTCTCCATCTGTAAAATAAAGATGAGAATAGTATCCACCTTATTGGTGGTTGTGAGGTTTGAGTGGACCATGGGAAATGTTTGGACCGAGTCTGGCACATATTTAACACCCAGCCAGTATTGCTGTTGTTATGAGAGACACTCTCCACTCTGGATTCCATTACTAAGTCACAGATGGAAACTTGCCACGGCTGCAAATACTACAACTATACCTACCAAATATAACAACTAATAACGTCACTATTCTACTCTCAGAGAATAGTCTCGCCAAAGCTAAATATAACAGAAGATCACTTCTTACACACTCTATACACAGTCAGCGTGGTGCTGACTCACGATCAACAGGTATTTCTTGAAAGCCTGCTCCATATGCAGGTACTCGAAATACAGTAAAGAAATCACATAAATTTCTTAGTCTAGTAATGGAGATCATGTAGAGTGATTTGAAATGTTTTCTTTATTTGAGAAAGAGAGAAGGGAGGAAAAACATTTTTCAAAGAGAAGTGGTCTGTAATTTTAACAAATTACCTGTACAATTAAAACGCTTTTATGTTGTTTCTTGTATGCTTTTTAAAAAATATTTTTAAATTTATTTTTAGAGAGAAAGGAAGAGAGAGGGATAGAGAGAGAGAAACATCGATGAGAGAGAAACATCATCAGTCGGCCCCTACTGAGGATCAAGCCCACAACCCAGACACGTGCCCTCCCCGGGAATTGAACCGGTGACCTCTTGGTTCCTGGGTCCATGCTCAACCGCTGAGCTACACTGGCTGGGCTGTATATCTTTTTTTTAAAGGTGTATTTTCACTTTGCTCATTTATGTAATTGAAATCTTAATTTTATGAATTGGTGTGTAGATTGTTAATTCTTGCTTTGTCATATTTGTTGAAAGAGTTCCCCAAATTTGTATTTTTTCCCTATCCTGATTTTTTTAATACTTCAAATGAATTGGTCTTTTCCTTCCTAATTTTTCTATCAATTTTGAGCTTAGAACATCCTCTCTATTCATAAACCCATATTTTTTGTCCTAATTTATATAATTTAGCATTTACATTAGCTCTTTAACACCCTGGAAATATGTTTTTCTTCCTGGGGTGAGGTGATCCTCCTTTGCTAAGACCTTCACCAAAGGAAAATATCGAATATCTGGTGACACGTTGAAGTTTTTCAATAGGTTTCGGATGTTAAAGAAGATGAACAGGACTGATCCGATGAGTGGTGTCAGTTCTGCTCTGTAAGTTTCTGTCTTCACACCTGGAAGCGTTGTTTTCAGCTCTGCCTTACAGGAACTGTGAAGACTTTTTAAAGCAGAAGTCATTTTGGTGTATTAATCCCCTAAGACAACATCTGAGCTGTTGACTTTCACGGTGAATTATGGGTCTAGTGGTAGATATTGTAGTAAAGATCCCCTTTATGTTTTCAAATGTCTCTTTCATCTTGGACTGCAAACACATACCCATTTCCTTATCAAATATGCTAGAAGTTCAGAAGGGGTATGACATTTGGGGCAGTTAACGAGTAGTTTACAGCTTACATTATTGTCTGGTTTTGAATATTAGAAAAGAGGCTTTCATATGTGTGCTGTCACATAATAATTGGACATGGTATTTGCCAAGAGATAGAGATGATTATTAAAGACTTTGGAGACATCAGATCAAACAAAATGCTACCGATCATGATATTTTATCACATGGATCCATGTATAGGAATTACATTTTTTTCTATTGTCATTTTTTTCTCTGAGAATGTCAGAAAGGAAATTGAATACAGTATCTTCAACACCGAAACACATGCTGTAACTGCATTAGTTTTGAAAGCAACATGAACACGTCCTTATCTTATTTTGGAAATGGGTTGCTAATAATAATATATCAGAGGAGCAAAGTCCATTCTGTTTCCAGGACCGAATGCCTCTGGTGCCCTCAGGAATGAAAAGCTATGATGCTTTCTTTCTTCCTTAGGAATTATCTCCTTGTTCCATTTGGACAGTTAAGAGAACCACTGGCAAAAATGTGAACTTAGGACTAAAATTAACCCAATCTCTGCGTTCATTTCCATTATTAGTCAACCTAAAACAATTGATTTATTATAACTCAGCAAAGCCAATAGTGTTAATAGGCAGGAAAGTTTGGTGGGGGGGAGTGCATATCTGTCTGGAAGACAGGTAGTAAGATAAGTAATGCGATGCGAAGTCTAGCTATAACGGCGTACTTTAATTCTGCATGTCTGACAGATGGCCCTGTCATACACAGGGAGGAACGTGTAACAGTGAGCATAGTGCTGGGATTTAAAAACCAAGAGGCCCAAATCTGTTCCCTGCAAATTACTTTCTATCTTTGATCCTCTTCATTAAATGGGAAATTATTTAAAAGATTTCCCTACCCAGAAATGAGATTGGTTTTTTAAAAAGGAAGTGGATAGATAGATGTAGAGATCTATCCATCCATTCCTCTTAGCCTTTCCTCTCGGTTCCTTGGCTCTACCTAAAGAATTTCACCGGAGACTTTATTAGAAAGTACTGTGCGTTGTAGCCAGTGTGGCTCATTGAATAGAGCACCGGCCTGTGGACTGAAGGGTCTCAGGTTCATACCAGTCAAGAGCACATGCCCAGGTTATGAGCTCGATCCCCAGTGGGGCGTGCAGGAGGCAGCTGATCAATGATTCTCTTTCATCATTGGTGTTTCTACCTCTCCCTCTCCCTTCCTCTCTGACATACGTATGTATGAAAGTACTGTGAAATCTATAAAACAATAAAAGTTCTGTTCCCTTAATATTTACCAAGACTTGCTAAGTATAACCTCTACAAAAACATTTTACACAGTTAACTCAGCTCTTAAAGGTAGGAGAAACCAGGAGATAGTTACCAAAATACCTAAGTATAAGAGAAGGATTTTGCTGCTTTACTTTCCTGTTTTCGATGGGCAAATCTCTCTAAAAGAACTTCTTTCCATTTCAGAGAGGAAGTAAGAGATTTCCCACGAGGAATATTTAGCAATAGCCATGGCTCCAAAGGCAAGAAACCCTTTGTAGCTGCACCTGACCGGGAGGTGCGCCCCTTGGTGCATCGGAGCTCTGTGTCCTCCGGCTTCTCTGCGAGAACCTTCTGGTTGAATTGACTGCGGGCTGGGATATTGATTGACTTCTGCCCCCACCCCCGTGGGTCCCACTGTGCTTATCAGGAATGGCAGTCGGTTCTCTCGCCCTTATCATTCTTTCACTTGTTCTTCCCAGTCACGTTGGTAATTATTAATATAATGTCAATGTCTTTTCTTTCAGCCCTCCTCGCCCTCTGTCCAACATGAATGACACCATGGTCAGCCACATGTCCTCCGGAGCGCCCACTCCCACCAAGAGGTATGTGTCACGGCTTGCGCTTCACTTGCCACTCAGATTTGGGACAGGCTCTGGCCTGGGAAGCAGAGGATCCCACAGGGCAGAGCGGACTGGCTTGCTCTCTCCTCCTTTCACCGTCTTTTAATATTATTTTCCACTTTTTACTTATTTATTTGCTTACTAACTCATACATATAGCAGCTGAAGGAGTCTGCTTTGAATGGTGCCTTGAGGTGGAAACTCTGCATTTGTGACAAGCAGCGAACATAGTGTCAAAACAAATGAGGCATGTTTGAGATCTTTTTTTTAAACATTAAACAACATTTTGATAATCATGAATTTCAACACTTTTGCACTTGAGTTGAGAGTCAGAGATGGATTCTGTGTCCTGATTAGACTGTGTTAATTAAATTAATCCCTTATTTTCTCCTAAGTCATTCTGTACATGATTCATAAACATTTAAATTGAAACGCATGAGTCCCTCTCTTAGTCATACAAGCAGTTTCCTTTAGGGACCGTCAAGGAACTAGAGCTGTGTGTCTCCTTTCTCTTCTTAATTTTCTCCAAAATTCTCTTAGGCAGCACTGAAAAGAATGTAAGATGCTTGCTTTCTATTTGATGTAAGCTGTTTCTTGACCTGAGCGATGCAGAAACTCCCTCAGGGGCATAGCCATTAAAGAATTCTTTCTAACAGTCATCACTCCGAAAGGAAAAAAACAACAACAAAGGCATTCCGACCCACTCTCAAACTCCTCCCCGAAGAAAACCACATGTACTGATTGCTTTGGAGTAATTCAGCTGTAGAAATGTCATCTGGTTAATAATACTTAGACTTAATGTATAATATGCAGCAGGTCCTCGAATGGCATCATTTCGTTCAGTGTCATTTCCTCATAACATTGATGAAATGCTGTGGGAACTTGTCTTGTTTATGTCAATCAGCCTACAGTAAAATTGGTTTCATTATACATAGTTTCCCCACAGTTGCAAGAACCACAATGTTAAGTAAGGACTTACTGTATAATACTTTAGATCAACTATGTTTGTTCCCATTGGCCATAACTCCTAGGGCACGGTTTCCCAGATTTGACCGTTGGGAAGAATCACCAAGGCCCCTTATTAAAAATACAACCATCTGGGACTACGTCTCAGGACCTCGGACCAACGGATCCTGAGAGTCTGAGAAGCTATATTTTTAACAAGTATTCCAGGTTATTCTTTGATCAGGCAAGTATGGAAAATAGCCTTAGGAAGAAGCTAAGTAGGAAACCCTATGGCTACCCAGGAATAGAGGATTTAGGATTTAATAATCAGAGTGACCTGATAATACAGAGTTATTCTCATGGAGACTCAAGACCAGGTAAGAGTGCTTGCCCAGAGTCTTGCTGAAATACTTCTAGCAGGGGAATAGGCAAACCACTTCTTTTGGGCAGAGTTGAATGGTACAGTGTTCGTTCTAGAATAGCCGTGGGCAAACTACGGCCCGCAGGCCGGATCCGGCCCGTTTGAAATGAATAAAACTAAAAAAAAAAGACCGTACCCTTTTATGTAATGATGTTTACTTTGAATTTATATTAGTTCACACAAACACTCCATCCATGCTTTTGTTCCGGCCCTCCGGTCCAGTTTAAGAACCCATTGTGGCCCTCGAGTCAAAAAGTTTGCCCACCCCTGTTCTAGAACATAAGCGCTCGCTCTCTCTCTCTCTCTCTTTCTCTCTCTCTTTCTCTCTCCTTTCGCCTCAGCAAAATGAGAAAGTTCTAATGATTTCCTATATATCACTGTGTTAATAGTTAACATTACTGTATCCTTAGAGATTTAAGAGAATATATCTCATATTATGTGTTCCTACTCCAGTAAAAGGGAAAAGAAAGGCACAAACCCACAAAGGCAGAAAGGGAAGGGCGGACGTGTCCAGGGCCACAAAAGCCACGGAAACGCCACCAGGTGCCCTGCACCTCTTGCCTCTCTCGGTCTTCCTTCGCTCCTCCTGCCGAACAGCTACTTCTCAACACTGACGCTTCACACACACATCCCTGGCATTGTCACTTGTGACGCTTCACACACACGTCCCTGGCATTGTCGCTTGTAGGGCTGCGTGTCTCCCGTGGATGAGAAAACTCCAAGGATTGTATTACCCCCCATCCTGTGTGTGTATATGATGGGTTACACCGTTAAGAACAGATGAGAGTGATCCTGGGAAGGAGAAATAATGGAGGTTGTTGGCAGACCACCATTTTGCTACCCAGCACACAGATGTGTGCAAAAGTATGTCCATGCCCACATACACACACCCACACACGCTTCTATTTCCGGAGTTTTCCTTCTTCACATAATACAGCTTTCCATATACATCTGCAAACGCACGCACGCCTTTCCAGGGAGTCTTACCGCCTCCTGCAGACAGGATGGGTCCCAGAAACCTGGGTTATGTCCGTTCGTCCAGGTCAAGTCTAGATGTGTCCTTCTGTGATTCATTAACCTTTTCTACCGTGGATTGAATGCTACATTTTAAGCACCCAGACATCCAGTGTACAAAAGTAGAAATCTGAAAATAGGACAATTGTAATTTAAGGAAGGGGGCAAATGGAATTAACAGAAGCAGCATGTTAAGCCACATTCGCCTGTGTTTCTTCTTGGAATGCCACCAAAATGACAGTCAAGACTTTTTAAAGCAAAAACCCACAAGAACAAAGAAAAATGAATGAGGAGACTATAGCAACAACATTCTGGAACCAGCGAAGCCGATGGGTGAGTGGTCACTGATCTTACAAACTGGAAAAGTCTAAAGCCTCAGCGGATGGTGAGAGGAGCCCGGAAGAGTCCGTTGTGGGGATTAGGCTCCAAAAGGGGACGAGAGGACTGTTTGTATCAGAAACACCCAGAGCCCCGGATTGTCTCCATGACGGGGCAGCCTCCCTACCCACCCTGCCAAAGCGTTGAGGTTTATGTTTGGAGTTTCTGGAGCAGTGCAACTCCCATAAAACCCTAGATGTCTTCATTATCTCACCCGTGGTGGGCTGAGGCAGCAGGCTTTCAGACAACCTCCCTGCAACATCATACCGAAGACTTAAAGAAATCACCGCTACACCCAGTTGTTGGCACATGAACCAAATCCCAGGATCCCAGGGATGATAGTTATTCCAAGTTGAAAACTCCCCAAGAAAGTTCTGTTTGGTCCGTCTTGGATCATGTTACCTACCCAAGGGTTTTCCAAAATAGGTGGGGGTCAGTTCTCCAAAAGAGGGCGTCTGCTGTCCCCGGAGAAGGTAGATGTACTGAGGCACACAGCTATGGGCTTCCTTTTCTAATCGTTTCTGAAAAGAAATTGTGTGTGTAAGTATATTATGTCATATCTCCGTTTGCACCGGCTTAATTCAAGAGACCCTTTTCCTCCCACCTCATTTTCATCTCTCTCAAGGGTTAAATCCTGCTTGCTGTTCCGTTCGGTTTATGAAGATGTATTGTGTTGGGACATGATACCATCTTTGGGTGGGAACAGGTAAATATTAGAGTCACTAACTCTAAATAGTTACCGATTGCTATGAATCTTAAGAAAAGGCAAGATATTATCAGTTAGAACTTCTTTGACTTACATACTTTACAAGAAGGAAAAGCAGTTCTTAAAGGCCAGAAGATCTCACAGTAAAAATATTACATCTAAGCTGTAGAAACATGACCAAATTAAGAGATGAGCCCTAACCGGTTTGGCTCAGTGGATAGTGTCAGCCTGCGGACTGAAGGGTCCTAGCCAGGTTCGATTCCGGTCAAGGGCATGTACCTGGGTTGCGGCACATCCCCGGTGGGGGATGTGCAGGAGGCGGCTGATCGATGTTTCTCTCTCATCGATGTTTCTGACTCTCTGTCTCTCTCCCTTCCTCGAGCCAAACCGGTTTCGGCTAAAATAAAATATATTTTTTAAAAAGAGAGTTGAGTTGCTCTATAATAGTATTAAAATGGCTTTCTGACCAGGTGCCAGATAAAGAGTTCATCTTATTATCTATGAATATTGTAACGTGACAAAAGCCACAATCTGCTGTATTTTTAGGCTGAGAACAAAAGAGGTGCTGGGGACACTGGGAAAGGAGGCAAAATAAAATCGGTCGCGCCAGCAGCTCGCCATTCGTGGAGTCGCGCCACTGATTCTCGTCCTTCCTGTGAATTAAGGAAACGGGGTTTGGTTGAAAAGCACCGTCATGAGGGCCCTGCCTGGTCATGAAACAGCTAGCTTGTGTGAATTCGTGAAATTCTCTCCAAGGCAACACAGGAATTATTTTTTTCAATCTTTTTTTGAAAGACAGAAAAGCAGAGTAATTGAAAATTAACACATAATCTTATGGACCTGCAGGGTCCTCCGTGCTGGCAGATTTCCAAAGCCCATCTGATAGCCTGGGCAGACCTCCAATTTTTAACTGCTCGGGGTTGAGATTAAATTCCATTTCCATTCAAGCATTTAAGGCAAACCCTTCAGCAGTTCTAACTCAGGTTAGTACAAACAAAAACGTTGTACATATATACACATATATATTATACATACAGCATACATATATATATTAATATTTTATCAAAAAAGAAAAGAGTTTGAATTCAAATCGTTTGAAGTAGACCAATTACAAATGAGTTATTACAAAGAGAACTTCCACTCTGGTCATGGTGGAGCCAGAAGCTAGATGTATTGTGTTGGGACATGATACCATCTTTGGGTGGGAACAGGTAAATATTAGAGTCACTAACTCTGAATAGTTACCAATTGCTATGAATCCTAAGAAAAGGCAAGATATTATCAGTTTGACTCTTCCACAGTAATCTTCCACTGAAAACAGGTCTGAACATAACAACTCTTTTCAGAAATTAGACAGTAAGTAAGGAAGGGCTGATCTCTGAGGGATGAGAAGCAAATGAGATCACTATGATTGTCCCAGCCTCCAGCTGAGAGGCGTTTGCCCAGCTCCAGTGCAGGGTACAAGGCAATCTTGCTGAGAATAAGGGGACCAAGGTTAGAGTTAGGGGAGGCAGGGGCT